GGCACCTAATGAGGAGGGGTGAATGATCAGACCTAAATCGAGTGAGGTGTGAGACGATCGTGACCGCAAACACCTTCGACCACGCCTCAGAAACCAGAGCACGGTCGAGCCTCTCTTTGAGATCGTCCCTAACCCACGTAAAGGGCTCACCCTCATAACCAGCGTCAATCAACTCACAGTCCGCAACAGCCTGTGCAAAGTCCCACATCTCCCTAGAACGATCCAAAAGGCTACCCACACGCTCATCGGGGTGCAAAAAGATGTTAAATCGCCACTAACCAACCATGGCAATCCCTCCATGCTCTCAGCAATCTCACGCAGGGTGTCCCAGAGGTCATATCTCCCAACCCTATTACACTTGGCGTAAACCAATGTGTGAAATATGGGCTCGGGGAGGTGGGCTGCAGAAAGCTCGACATGAAGAACCTGGTCGGTGTCCCGGAGAACCCGATAGGTGTAGTCACGCGAGTGGAAGAACCAGATCTTATGCGAGGTGTTGCCCACGCCCGAGTGGAAGCCAAGTCGGCGTGAGTAATAGTCAAAATCAGGGGTGCGAATCATCGACTCTAGAAAGCCAACGAAGTCCAATCTATGATCACGTATAAGAGAGTGGAGATGAGCGAGGGTGGCCCTATTAGCCAGGCCCCGGCCATTCCAGGTAATAGAAGTGATAGACATATCAACAGTTGTGGGAGCCACCAGACGTGGTCCGACTGTGGCGATGCTGGGTCAATGCCCCTGAAGGAGGAGGTATGTGGCGAAGGGATCGAAGGGCGGGGGAGACTGTCCATCGCGTCACGCGCGGTGTGGGTCTGGACTTAGAGGGGGGACGCCCTCGGAAAGTGCTCGTAGCCTGCGAGTCATCGGGCTGAGCAATCGAACCCAAAGCAGAACTAGGGACCTACCCCAACTCTGGGGTCGTCTCCTGTCTGTCAAAGTGGACGAATGCGCTAGAGGCGAAACTCTCGCACGAGATGTCATGCTGGGCGCGGTTAAGACCGCATGCCTGCTCCGGGATATGGGGGAGAGAGGCTCCATTCGGAGGAGCACTCGGGTGCTCACCGAGAGAGTGAGGCTGGAGAGTAGCTATATGCTCAGTCGGGCTCCCAAGCTCAGCAGAGGAAGGATGTGCCAGCTCTTCCCCTTTCGGGGGAGCGATGGCGGGATCTGTCCTCATCTCCAGGGAACGGTCCTGGCTAGATGGTAGGACAAACAAAGGAACAGCACCTCGAGTGCTGTCATCAGCTAAATGAATGGACGTGCCACTGGTCGAGGCGTCCGGTTGCTCCAAATCCTCAGCTAAGAGGTCATCATCGTCTAAGAAAGGGAGGTCTAAAGACCTATGGGGATCACTGGTAGAGGTCTCAGACTCATCCTCTGCCTCAGTCCACTCTATAGTTGTTAGGTTAGTTCTCTGTAGTTGCTAGGTTAGTAGTTGCTAGGTTAGTTCTCTCTAGTTGCTAGGTTACTTCTCTGTAGTTGCTAGGTTAATTCTCTGTAGTTGTTAGGTTAGTTCTCTGTAGTTGCGAGATTAGTAGTTGCTAGGTTAGTGCTCTGTAGTTGCTAGGTTAGTAGTTGCTAGGTTAGTTCTCTGTAGTTGCTAGGTTAGTTGTCTGTAACTATTACGGTGAGCCTCATTTTCTTGCAAGCCGCCGTCGAACTCTTGCCGGCAACCGCAGGCCACATCGGCAACCAGACCACCTCAGCTCTGCCCGCCATCATCCTCTTAGCTTGCGCAGCCACGACAAGCTCACTGCCACCGGCGACTTGCTTCACATCGTCCTCTTCAACTCACGTTGTCCTAGATCCAGCAAGGACGCATCGCGCACCCTCAATCAACAGATCGCACGTCCTCCATCTCGTTGTTCCTAGCTCTGGAAAGGTCACGTCGAGCATACCATCGTTCGTACATCGCACCTTTCGAGCCTTTAATGCCTCAGTCCACGCTGATTTTGTAGCTCGAACCCACGGTGAGGTCCTGTCCTTCAGCGCAGCTCAGCTCACGACCTGAAGTCACGTCGATGTCGGCAAGCTCACGTCGCCACCTCCTAGCCGCGGCCTTGTAGCTCACTTTCACGACCGCTGACCACAATTCCGTGCCTTCACCAATTGTCGTATGCGGTTCCATAGCAAACAGTCCTAGCTCTTGTCCGTACGAGCTCTTTTGTCCCCGATCCGATGAACTCACGGCTGCCGTGTGAAGATTCGACCCTCGTGACGTCAGACCTAAGCCAATTCTGTCAAGATGCACCAGAACCGAGGTCCCCAGTCATAGATCTGAGCGGAACCTCGCAACCCAACCCGATTCCAAACAGCCTAGCCTTTTCACTAGCCCAAATCATTGTTCGATTTTTTATTTGAGTCATTTCTAAGGTATATTGGCTAAATATCATACTCCATGGAATTATAAATGAATTATAATTGATTATAAAAATGAGAAATGAGAATATTGAGCTAGATATGATTTTTAATAATTTATTGAGTTAAATAGCTAACAAATCATAATATATTGTGAGCTGATCAGAAAAATGTGATTCTAACTGGATAAATCCTAGTTTGATGCCGTGAGACTTAGGTTAAAATTTGGTGAATTTTGGAGGCCGTTTTCGATGTGAATCGAATTTATAAATGTAGACAAAAAAACGCCCAATTTTTTTGACTGAATTAGGGGCTTTATATTGATGTTATATTTAGCCATAAATATTATATATGCTGAGGATGATGTGGTTAATATTTCAGAATATTTGAATGTCGTTTGATATTGTAACGCCCTGTCTTTTATTAATAAAGGAAAGATATTAGCTTCCGAGTATAAGCTAGCCTTTGTTAATAAATGATCAGTATTAGTATTTGAGCCTAAGTTATTTAGCTAGTTAAGTTCCAAGTTCTATGTCAAGTCAAAAAATATTCGGTTGATTTTATTTATTAATCGAGCCAAGTCTAGTAATTAATCTCAGTTTATTTATTTAATAAATGGACATTAGTAAGTTTGGGATTAATTATTCCAGTATTGACGTATTAATAGAATTTGAGAATATTCGATAAATCGTCAAAGATGAGTTTCGAGCTTAGTTAATAAGTTATTCAGAAATAAGTTCGACTTTAAGTCGAAAGTCTATTCGGTTTAATTTATTTTCAATAACCGAGTTAATTTTGATAATTAGTTCCCGAAACCTTTATTTTATAAATGAATATTATTAGTCGGGATTAATTATTTGAAATCAAGAATAATCGAATTAATTTTCGATGTCAAGTTTCAACCGAAAATGAGTAAATTCGGTTTAAGTTATCATGCGTATACACCATTCCTATACAGCGCCGCATTCACATTGATACACCGTTCATCTCATGCTTGTGTTTAAATAAGTGTGGGAACAAGTTAAGCTAATCCATGCTCAAGACTTAGTAGATTAATCTTCAGATAAACCTTAGAGAAAACCCATAATGTAAGCAATCAAAAAACAGTGCAAGAAAAAGAATTTCAATTCTAACATTAGGATAAATAACGAAATTAATGTCAAGCGTACACAAGTTCTAAGAGTAATCATGACCATAGACTTGATGGTTTAAGCAGCTCTCAACGTTGGGTAAATAGAGCTTTAGCAACAATGCCAGTGGCCTCAATGTAACGCTCGACACATCTGGAGATGCAGCTAGATTTACTCCCACTCAAGCTATTACCTGGTTTTGTTATACACTTGTCAAAGCACTTGCCTCTTACAGTCTCGAGGAACTCCTCTGCATAAACTTGTGCAAGCTCGGATTTGACCTGGTTCATCAAGTACACATGTGAAATCTGTGGAGATGAAGCACTCCATGGCGATGAAAATGAGTCCATTCTTCTGTTTTACTTCTTTCCTGGCTCGAATGTCTGTACTGTTTTCGAGTCCAAAGAGGTTTGTGAAAACCTGCTCAAGCCTTAGTAGATAGCCGTGAGTTTATGACTTAATAGTATAAAATGTTGCAACATGCAAAGTCCTTGTCACCTACTTGCTTATGATACATGGCATGACTTAAGTTTTCACTTAATGACTAGCCCTTCTTCACGCTACATAGAAACGTGACTAGGCAAACAATTTTTCCACCAAAGCCCACGGTTATAACATGTGGCATCCTTAAGTTAAAATGTTATTTCACCTCCATCATTTTATAAGCAAAGCCGTGGGTTATTTATGCATTTTTCCATGCAAACGGAGCTTGAAATAAGAGAGAAAACCTTGAGAAAAGATAGAAAATATTGAAAGAAGATAGCTTATGCCAAGCCTTTGTTTAAGTCTAGCACATGTGCATACCGAGTGGAAGATTACGAACAAGCACGCGCAAGTCATAGCCCGTTCGTCGAGCGATTGGAGGGATATATTCACCTTAACCTCCTTTTAATGTATTTAAATTCATGTCAAGTAGATCATGCATAAATTATGTTGTTCGGTCCATGTTTAATGTCATAAGTGCACTTAGAGGTACTATATAAGCCCTTCCCGAAAAAAGTCAAAATCTAACCGAACACTACCGAGCAATTTATACATATTTAGTCATTTCATGTCATGTTATGTTTAGCTATGTAAGGTTTGCTGGAAAAAGTTGTCGGACGGCCGGCGAAGGGCCGACCGTAAGGCCTGCCCACATGTAGCGGTGCAGCGCCAACCCGGCAGCGGCCTGCAGCACGCGGCAGCACGCGCACGCCAGCAGTTCGTCGTGCACAGCCCGTGCAGCAGCGCCCAACACCGTGCCGCCAGCGGCCATGCGTGCAGTGCACGCCAGCGCGTTCGTCAGCATGCAGTCAGACCACGAGCGTACACCGCAGCGTGCAGAAAGCGTGGGCAGTGCCCAGTCGCCCCGCAGCACGCGCAGTACCGCCATGATGCGGAAGTGGCTTTCGAAGCCTGAGGTTGTCGAGAGCCGATGGCCGGGACGGTTCGAGAAGGCCGAGAAAAGGGCCAGAAGCATGCACGCATGGCCTAAGAGAAGGGTACGAGCCCGTATGCGAGGCGCACGAGCACGAAAGTCCCGAGTGAAGGCAAGGACTCAAGCTTATCACACGAGGTCAAGACGCGCATGGCCGAGACTTGGAAACCCTATAGGTCGACGACGGGGATTGGGTGAGACCCGGTATGAGACACGTGCACGAGAAGGTTCGAGAAGCCTCGTGAGGTGAGGAATAGCGCACGAACAAGCACACGGGGGTGTACACGGACGTGATGTGCAAGTACACGAAGCGAGTCGTGCGAGCCGAGGGGTGAAGATGCTAGAAGACATATTATTAGATTATTTGTTAATTTAATTAATTATTGTCTTATATTAGTTATCATAGTTTAATTGTTAGTTGGTTAGGACATATTTAGTTTGATTTATTAGTTTAAATAATTAGTAGCAGGTTGGTTTATTGTTTAGAGATTGGTGGATTATTAGTTTAGTATATATTTAGATTGTTAGCATATAGTTGGCGTGAGTTAGTGTTAGGATTATTATTTAGCCGTGATATTAGTTTAGTAGGATTAGTTGCGTGAATTGTTTAGATTGTTAGGAGTTTTATTTATTTTGCTAAGTCTTGGTATGCAAGACATTTAGTTGCCTTAGGACTAGATATTATTTCCTAGTTAGAATTATACTTAGAATAGGACTAGATCTAGTTGGTGCCTACATAAAGGCCCTTCCTCTTGTTATTTTTCATACCGAAGAATTAATAGAAAATCGAACGTTTGTTCACCAACTCTTGTGTGTGAGTTTACATACAAAATCGTGTTAGAAATAGGACCAACATCCGAGTTTCTTCACACCTATCGTGTTAGAAATAAGACCAACATCCGAGTTTCTTCACAACTATCGCGAAGTACGAAGGCGTCGGCGCGCGTATTAGCAACCTATCGCTCGGGACCAAGGCGTCGGCGCAGGTTTCAAGCAATTCGAGTTGAGGCAGATATACGATCTTCATCATTGGTGCTTTCATTGAGAGGGTTGGTCGTGTATCTTGTTTAAACTTTTTCCCTTCTTCTTTCTTTTTGATTTTTCTTTTCGTTTGGATCCACAAAAAAAAAAAAAAA